AAGACTTTCTATGCTTCTTGTGCGTGAGCTTAAGTATTTAGAATCATCAAAATGACTGTAAAACATGTCAAAGTTCTTGTACAATTCTTGGGAGGGGACGTAGTGTACATTAACCCCTTACTAATGACCTGCGACAACCGTGCTTCCTGTGCTCTCTCTGTCAGGCTCAGGGTATGGAAGGAGAATGTGAGAGGTTGAACCAGCGTATTTCTGCACTGACGGAGCACCTCGCTGATGCAAAATTTGCCAACAGTGTGGAAAAATTCAATGTAAGATCTTTACCTCAGTAAATATACATAGTGAAAAAATATGTTACCTCTGCATTATTTAATCAATACAAATCTATCTGCAATCTCTACTTGATGAAGATAATTTCTGTGCTCCACAACCCTGAACTCTAATTCAGTTAGGTGATGCCATGAATCAGGTGGTTTCTCCTATCACCCCCCCTCCAGCTGAGTTCATGGACATCCATGACTACGACAACACCAACCCTGGAGGGCAGGACCAATGTCTGGGGCCAGTTCCAGAGGAGGAAGAATCTGACTGGTCAGAGATAGGAGATGATACCCCACGATTTGTACTGACAGGATCCAACAGAGGTCAGGTATGGAGACACCGGGATGCAGATATGGACAAAGACAGCGAGTCAGGTGGTGAGGAAATCCTCAGACGCCAAATGCAGATACCTCATCTCCAGTTCACCATCCACAATGAGAATCTGTCTGAAGCTTTGACAGGTGAAGGCACTTACAGGATCACCACCAGTCCAAACGTTGGCTCCGCCATCCTGATACGGTCTGCTAGCCTTGAGGAAATCCCACTGGCACGCCATCATATGAAGAAGGAGCTAAGGGGCACGGAGGCCATGATGGACCTCCACCACCAAGGGGGCGAGGCCGTCGAAGATTTAGATAATGAGATCATTCATCACTGGAGAACCAGCAACGAGAGGGACGTGGCTGTTGTGAGGCCGTCAGAGGCAGATCTAGCCAGCCTGCAGTCAGCAGAGCGGATGCTCAACCACTTCATAGGTGGACCGCAGGCTGGAGTAGAGCAGGGGGAGGGCAGGGCCGAGGTGCACGCCTGGACAGACGAGGGGATAAAAGCAGAGCGAACAAAGCTGTGACAGAAACATGAAGGCCCTGTTCACTGTGTCAAAACACATAGTACTTTTAGCTATATATTTATTAGTAAAGTTCAATTAAGCTCTTTCTTTCACGGGTTCAGTGGTTCTGCCCCGCTAATTAACATGTGTTTGGATTCAACTTAACCTTTTAATTAAAAATGTTTTAGTAGTTTTCTGAGGAGCTCCCCCCACAGCTTTAGGACCTCCTTAAAGAGACAGCCACTAAAAATGAGTGTTAAGAGACCAGAGGGTGAATGGAGGTGTATTCAGGATTGCATCGTTAAAGAAATAACATTTGAACACTAAAGCATGATAGAATGTTCCCTTAAAAATGCTAAATAGAAGATGTAACCCCCAAGTCCCCTTTACCTCTTTTGGGTTCCTCATTTGTTTCTCAAAAAATATTTAAAATAAGATAGACAATTGTATTACAGCGTATAAATTCAACCCCTATTCATGACTGTACTTTTCTGTAACTTGAAAAATCCCTTTAGATTTAGTCATTTAATGGAACCTTTTATTTTTTTAGTATAATCATCGATATAAGCATGTCGTTTCATGTCTTTAATCTGTTTGCTTTTTGCATGTAACATTATGTAATCATAAAATATTTTTCTTCTTTTGTAGGTAGCCTCAATTATGCATCGTTGAATGCTATATAAATATATATACTTCAAGTAATCTAAAAGAAAAAGAAAATCCAGTGCTTTCTTGTTAATCCATTTGTTGTTGTCTTAGCGTGTACCATATAACAAAATGTAAACTTATAAATATAAAATACCTTTAAATATGTGTATATGCAAAACTTATTTCCTCAGGTTACATTCATTCACCTTTTAAAATAAATTCTTGCAAATAAACACATTTTACAAGCTTGTGTAAATGTCATCCATGTACCATGGTCAATGTAACATCTTATAAACAAAATGAAGAATCAATTAAACATAATGTCAGCTGTTTGCTTTATTTTTAATCAACTTTCTTTGGAAAGTTTGTCTTGATAAATACATAGAATGATAGAAGATGGACAACAGAGTGCTTCAAGGATGATGTACTTTGTTGGCTAACTTAGTTTCAGGGGTGCCCTACTAGCCGATTCCCAGTCGATCGCGAGATGTGTCTAAAAATAGAACAACAATATTCTGTTTTATCGTTAATGTCATATAACATAATCTTCCTAAAGCTTTGTGATTGGCCGGCGTGACCCCATGTGTCGGGGCGTGGCTGGTGGGCAGTGGGCACTATTTCGCTGGGACAACGTCAGCGAAATAGTGCCCACTGCCCACCAGCCACGCCCCGACACATGGGGTCACGCCGGCCAATCACAAAGCTTTAGGAAGATTATGTTATATGACATTAACNTTCTTTTCTGTGTTAGAGTTTACTCGCTACAGGGGTGTTACTTTGAGGGTTTTGACTCTGCCAGACCGTTTACATGCAGAAAAACCTTCATAACACACAAGGGGACGGGGTAATAACCGGAAAGCATGACATGGGAACCTTTAACTTGTTTGTAGGCGGACATGTTTTACTCAGTATGTGGGCGGCGACTTTCATTTTATAGCACATTTATCCAAAGAGTTAAAAAGAAGGATTCAAGTTACGCTTTTGTAAATAACCAACAACAACATAACACAAATGTTGTCCTTGGTAGCGGATGCCACAAATGATCTTAAATCACTTGTATGTGCCAATAAAGGATAAACTTGTTTGTACCCGTGGTTTTTTGAATGAGGTCCGATGTTTTCTTTAAAGCGACTGAAGCGATTGTTCATATTTTAGTATTAGATTTGTTTATATTATTATTATTTATTATTTTGTGATCAATTATGGGTTGGATTAGTTGGGTCACCTTGTTGGCGACACTCACAGTGAATATAATCGACTGTTCTCCTGTGGAAGGTGTGGAAGAGAGGGTAAAAGGGTCGCTGTATTTATTAAAGTTTATCTTTTGGATCCGATCATTCTGCACAGAAGTTGACAATTTTCATTAAATATGATATTGTTATATATTGATAAGGCGTTTTTTCTGGACCTTTATTTGTTTCCTGACATTGCTACAAGCCTTTTACAGGTTTTATTACGAAATAGTGCGTAGACGGCTCTGCTAAAGATTATTCCCTAGTTTAGGTTTTATGTTCTGTGTTTAGATAGGTGCCTGTTTTATTTTGATAGTCTTGTCTACCCTCATGTGTCTAAAGTACGTTTCCTGCCTTGTCTGTTTTCCCGCTGTTGTGATTGTCTAATTGTCTTCACCTGGTGTTGTCTGTCAAGTATATATACGTAGTTCTCGTCTTCCCCTGTCTCGTTGCCAGATTGTCTTGTGTGTTCCAAGCATTCCAGCGTTAAGATCATTTGTCATTGTCCATATAGTTATTGTTAGAGATGTCCCGATCCGATCACGTGATCGGGGATCGGAGTGGACCTATCATGCTGAGGGAAGAAGCGATGTTTATTAACGGAGGACGTGTTAGGCCAGGGGCTTCAAACTCAAGGCCCGGGGGCCAAATCCGGCCCGCGACTTCATTTAATGCGGCCCCCCGTAAGAGCTTGCAAAGAATATAATATGTTTATTATACGGTTACATGCCGATTTACAGAAGCACGTTGCCCATAAACTACATATCCCACAATGCATTTCAAATTTGACTTTTTTCTCGGAATTTGACTTATTTTCTTCAAAATATTCATTTTTTCTTAGAATTTGCCTTTTTCTCAGAATTAATTTTTTTTAAAATAATTTTGTAACGTTCTCAGTGAAGAGACTTGCAATTATTTGCCCTAGACTTCTGCTTTCAGACGTAGTTAATTATGAAGTTATTACCCTATCCCATAACAATCCAATGCAGAGGCAATAACATTATTTTATTATTAAATATTTATATATGTATTTTGATATATAGTCTTAAAGTTACAACCGGCCCTTTGAGTGCAACCATAATGCTGATGTGGCCCGCGAAGAAATTGAGTTTGACACCCCTGGGTTAGACAGTTTATTGAGTGATTGTTTTGTTTACATTAAAACACTTTATTTTGATACTTTGTTTGTCTCTGCATCGTGCATTTGATTCCACGCCTTTGTAAAGCTTTAACAAATACCATATCATTCCATTGTTTTCATATCCTCAAAGTTGACCAACAGGACAGTGAACCCCTTTAAGAGCTGCAGGGAAACATGGATCAAACGTATAGGAAGATGAGGATGAAGTGGTTTGAAGAGGAGATAAGTTGGGAGTCATCACTTGATCTGAGAGAGAGTGTGTGCTCGTGTCTGTTTGGTGTTAAATGACCGATAGCCCCGTGAGTCCTGCACTGGATGTGAATCTCCGCTGAGACACTGTTAACTATTGCCAGGCTGAGGCTCTGCTCTCTGTCGCATTCTTCGGGAATCTAATGTCTCCCATATGTTGGAGAGATGAGGGCAACAATGACAAAAAGAGAGAAATAGTGGAGACAGAGAAGGAGAATAAGCTGAAGCTTCAAACCTGGGAAAGACAATGCCGCCAAATCCAATCACATGTATCTTCTGCTGTGGTTTTTAACTCATCTGTCGACGGATTTAAAAAAATGCAGATCAAGCCCAATTCTCCGTTTGAAATGTGAGGTTTTCACTCTTTGTGATCGGGGTTTTTTTCCCTGCTTGTTTCGATGGAATTCATCGTCCCTTTCATTCTCCGAAAACCTTCACCATGTTTTCTCTATTGCCCCTCCCCACATGTAAAGCTCACTTATTACTTTTATCCTTCCAAACATGAGCGGATGCAGCTTCCACACAACCTCCTGGCATCTGGTGGTTGCAAATATTGGTCCAGTTGTGTTCATATGTGGAGGAGATGTATATTCTATATCCTCTCTTATCCTTTCATTAAATCATGAATCTGGTGTGCCGGCTTCTGTAAACATCCACTTCCTCAAAAGCTTCTCCCTCTCCCAATAACCCTGGATATTCCTCTCCATTTCCCCATTCATATCCATGCCTCGTTCATCCCTCTTTCCCCTCCATTTATGTCTGTCCTTCTCTCTCTCTCAGGCCCAGATTCAACTGGATTGTGGAGACGACAACATCTGCGTCCCTGACCTCAAGCTGGCTGTTTATGGGTGAGAGGAAGTCACAGTTCTATTACTTTACCTGATTCAACAAACAAAAACTTAAAACCCTCCAGTCATGCTTTGCGAGGCTGCTTCGATTGTTTTTCCTTCTGCGACTGAAAAAATAATAATGAGGAAAGCTCTTCTGTTTGCCATTTGAAACACTTCCTCTGAAGTGATGCATTTAATGCTTTTGGTTAGTGTGGAAAGAACGCTAGAAGAGCTGCATGGTTAGCATTAGCAGCAGTTGCAGTCTTGGCTCAATAGACAAAGTAAACACTGGCGGTACTTACTGGAAGCACACTCAGTATTATTCCACAGCAAATGGCCCTACTGTTTAAAACAGCCCTATTCTGCTCATTTTCATGTTCATATGTGTATATTGTCTTCTGTGAGATTTGTACACGCTTTAATATTTTTCTCTTTTCACCCTCTGTCTGAAACCAGAGCCCAGTCTGCTCTGATTGGTTAGCTGTTGTGATTGGTCAACCGCTTAGAGATGTCCCGCCCCTTTGCTTATCACGTACAATGTGTTGGAGCGCTAGCCAGTAGAAGCGCAAGTGTTACATAGGGATGACACTTTGTTCAGGAGGTAAACACAGGAGTCTAATGGTGGCGTTTCAGGCAGGGGGGGGGTGATATTTGAATAATATAGTGTAAGACCATACCTATATAAGGCATATTTATACTTTTTATTTTTCAAAATACCAAACAGATCGTGCATTTTATCCATTCCTCATTTCTTGTCATGGGCTGATTCTGTGAGAACAGCACCATCTACAGGCCTGGCATATGTACTACAGCGTCTCCAGCGCTTTCAAACGGCAATGTCCGTGGCTGTCTCCTCCTGATTGGTGGAGTTGGCCCGATATCCGTAGCGCCACTTCTGTGACGTCACAGAAGTGTTCAAATCTGGATCAGTCTGTATCAGATCCGTTGCAGCCCCTTTTTAAGAGATTTGGGTATGGAGGAAAAGAGAGAGGGTTGTGTTTTCTGACACTTGGTGAGTTCCCTGGAACACCGGGGACACATGTTCATGTAGAAAAGACGTACAAAAGTGCATTTTGCATGATAGGTCACCTTTAAGTAAATTAGTGCACAATAAAAAACGCAATCTCTGCACTGTAGCATCACCTCCTCAAAGTCCTTTTTTTTTGAGGACACTCACCAAAGTTAGAAGATAAAGGAAGGCTGGATGTTAATCTTAAACAGTTGTTAGTTTCTAGACAGATAGAGGCACCCTGTGAAGTGCTATGGATTGGCTTTGATTTAGCACGTTTGATTCATCATGTGTACACGCATCAGGAGGTATTGGCACATGGGCAACACCATACACTTTTCTCTAAATGGTTCCATGTTATTCAACGATTCTTATGGCTTCCACAATAAATACAAGCTTAAAATATATTTAAAAAGTCATATTTCAAGATGTTTTATTTGGCTTTAAGTGCATTCAAAGTATTTGTATTATAGCCTCAAGGATAGTCTACAGACACAGACACATTATTATTCAAATATCTGTTAATAGAGTTCAGATCAAACATCAAAGAAAATAATATGATATTTCGAAGGGATAAACTTGATTTATTGACTGTAAGACACTGGAAGACAGTTCAAAGCTCATAACAGGCTTTCACTGGAGTACAGATTAAGAGGAAGGACTCAAACATGTTTTTTAATCGTGTATCCTTGTTCGCGAATGGAAGTCGGCCAAATACTTGGCAGCGTCTCGGTCCGTTCACAAAAGAAAACTCAGACTGTCTCCTCCGAGGCTCCTCTGTTATGAGGACTGTTTTGCATTATATTGCCATGTGATTTCTCTAAGCTGCAGAAATGCAATCAGAGCGAAAGTCTCCCATGAAAAACTCCAATATCTGCATTTGTTATTTGTGCCACGGGACTCGAATGATTCAGCATTTTTCCCTGAATTCACGACATTCTACGAGACACAGCACTTTCTCTCTCGTTCTCCAAGAATCTGCAAGATGTTTAACATTCGCAGCTCCGGTGTTTGAGTTGTATCCTCTGGATCCAATTATGCGTTTAAGAGATTTGTCCTCCACTTCGACATCTTTCCCAAGGATTGAAGCGCCTGATGAAAGCGTTGTTAACATCTCTGAGGACTTCTCTTCTTAGCATCTGCTGAGTGTTGTTGGTGTTAGAGTATCAGTGTGGCTTCCTCTGCATTCGCTAAACTTGCCCGGGCTTAATTAAGATCATCTGGTGGTTGTCTTACCTAGCGAGGGGTCACTGCGTCCAGACCCTCTGAAAACGGGGGAGGGGAGGAGGAAACGGGGAGTGAAAGAAGAACCCTGATTCTGACCCTCCGCCAGGTTCCCTTTCGCCTCCAATAGAAACATGAATGTACTGCCACAAAGTGAAGCTTTTGGGGGAGGGCTGCATTGTGAGAGTGTCGAGAGGATTTATCACTTCGCTGTTTGCACACAGGCGTCACTGTGAACATGCAGAATAAGGTGGGGGTCGGTTTCCTGAGACAAATCACAGTGATCAGATTTGGGTCACTTCCCAGGTCAGTCATGGACAGATATGCCCGGAGAACATGGCCTGTGGGGACTTAAACAGAGAAGCATTGTCTGGATAAGAATTCAGGTCCCTGCTTTTCATTACGTTTTACAATTGCTTCTCTGGCATTTTGGTCATGCCCTGCACCGAAACACTTCAAATGAACACGGCAGCAAAGGTAGCTCAAACTAAACCGAGCCAGCAAATAAGGGGCTATAAACGGTAGTAATGTTGATGGGGTACGATTAAAAAAAAGGCCTTTTCACGACTGAAGAAAAATAATGGCTTTGTAATAGATACTCTTGGGAAATGCAACTTTAGAAAAACACAAGAGTCTACAGCCAAGCACGAATACAGGCTCTATAAGGCTGTTGTTTAGCATGGTGTAGCTTTGAGCTAAATGTCAGCATGCTAACATGTCCGTAATCATACTGACGTTTAGCAGGTATATTTACCATGTTCGCCTTCTTAGCTTAGCATGTTAGCATATAAGTATTATGTACTAAATTGAGTTTTCGTGACGTTTTCAACATTTGATCGCTTATTCTTCATCTTTGTTTACTTTTAAATGGCAAAATCAACAAAAGGGAGCATCATCACTCAAGGAAAAGTCAAGGATTGCTAAGGGTTTATAGACATGAATATCTGTACACAACTACTACACAAACGTGCAAACTAAAATGTGAAACTCTCAAATTGTTGCTGCAACGTAAAAACGGTTTAAAAACGTTTCTTACGGTATTTTTTCAAGTGAGTTCTCAAATAATGGATGTAAAATAATAAAAAAGACAGAAAAGCCATCATGTATTAGAGGTGTTGGCAAAGTTCTGGAACTGCTCGCTGTTTATTTTCTAAGATTTCTGGTTTTGGAACTCACTTTTCCACGCTGTGTGTTTAGCAGTTTTCCAACATGCTGAAAAGGTAATTATTTCATTTTTTGTCAACAACCTTGCTGTGGTTCTCGTCTCTCAGTGACAGAGCGGAGGTCTACCTGGGCGATGAAAACTCCTTGAGTCTGACGTTCAATGCCAGGAACGAAGGAGAGGGAGGGGCGTACGAGGCCGAGCTCTACGTGGTTCTTCCTCCAGAGGCCGACTACAGCGGGATCGCACGCAACAACGTGGTGAGACACACAACGGTCACTTTGACCTTTGAAGGGGTAGTTCAGGTGTTTTGAAGGGGGGCTGTATGAGGTGGGAAGTGGTGGGAAGTGGTGGAGTACAAATACTTTGTTACTGTACTTAAGTACATGTTTCTGGTATCAATACTTTACTCCTTATTTTTCTGACGAATTTTTACTTTTGCTTCTTACATTTGGAACCCAAATACCTGTACTTTCTACTTCTTACATGTTGAACACAAATACCTGTACTTTCTACTTCTTACATGTTGAACACAAATACCTGTACTTTCTACTTCTTACATGTTGAACTCAAATACCTGTACTTTCTACTTCTTACATGTTGAACACAAATACCTGTACTTTCTACTTCTTACATTTTGAACCCAAATACCTGTACTTTCTACTTCTTACATTTTGAACCCAAATACCTGAACTTTCTACTTCTTACATGTTGAACACAAATACCTGTACTTTCTACTTCTTACATTTTGAACACAAATACCTGTACTTTCTACTTCTCTCATTTTCCAAACAGGCTGGTTCCTTTAGTTTGAATGTGTGTTTGGTGGCGTGATCATTATTATTTAGAGTCATTGCGTGCCTATTGATTTGAACACGATCCGTGTATCCATCATTTCCTGGTCTTCTCTAAAGAAGAGGGACCAATGAAAACGTTGTCATGTTGCCGTTGTTCAGCATGGAAACATTCATTCGCTAACAATGACATTATTGTTCTATTGATATAAAGGGAGTTCAGGTACTCTTTAAAACAGCTGCTAGTTATGGGTACTTTTTACTGAAGTACATTTCAAAGCCTCTTTACTTTGACTTGAGTAAATAAGTTTAGTCAGTACTTCTACTTTTACCAGAGTAACTTTAAACACGAGTATCTGTACTTCTACTTGAGTAAAGGATGTGTGTACTTTTGCCATCTGTGAACAGGATGTGTACTTCTACTTGAAGTAAAGGATGTGTACTTCTGCTTGAGCAAAGGATGTGTGTACTTTTGCCATCTCTGGGTGTTTATCCATAGTCAGAGTGTTAACTATAGTAGATGGCGGTTGGTTGGCACACACCCAGTTTGGAAGAACAGGTACCAGCACAGAAGACTTTCCAATGGGGAACTGACACCAATATACCTCTCCATATGCTTTCTTCAAAACCACCAGAGTAATACAACAAAAAACACATTTTTCTTCCACAGTAATTTGTTAAATACAAACTAACCAAAGTCACACAGTAAAACAAACTAATAACCTAACCAATCGAGGCAAAATAGTGTCATAACGTGGTTTCAATGCAATGACAAAAACCCGGAAGAATACACAATGCATGTTTAAATACAAGCGATTCAAATACTGGGTGGATTATTTAGCAAAAAACAGAGATGCTGATTAACAGACATCTCTTTCCAAATGTAAGTCAATGGAAAAAATGTATTTCTAGGCCAAAATATAACTTGTATTGCCATTGTTTTGAAAATCTGCTCCAATGGAGGCCTCACTCCTTGGCTGTCACAATGCGTACACTTGACACTGTGCCAAACACCATTTACTGTAGACACTTTGATCCTCCCTGTCGGTAACTATAAGGATACAAAATACTATATGTTAATCACAGAACTAATTATTTTCTCCATCCTGAGTACAAAAAACACATGGCTTTCATTACAGTGTACAGAATGTTCGCTCTTGAAAGCAACGGATGTGGAAAACCCACATTGTGTACCTTCCCAACAGTATTATAGCGGAATGAAAACACAGCATGAGAAATATGCCAAAAAAACAACAAAACTGGAATCAAGTTGGGGCAAAAAACACAATCCTGTCCGTCAAAGGAAACATATTCCAATCCAACTGTATTGATATAGCACATTCAAAAACAACCGAGTTGACCAAAGTGTTGTACATCAATACATATATATAAAAGCAGCATAAATACATTTAGACAAAACCGATAGAACAAAAAGAAACTAATGTAAAAGCACGAGACATACGTATAGCCACAGACTGAAAACACTTTAAAACACAACAAAATAGAAAACCCCAATTTAGAAAACGTCTCATTGACATATTGAAACGTCTCATTGACATATTGAAACGTCTCATTGACATATTGAAACGTCTCATTGACATTGTTACGTTCCCTTCTGAGCTAGGGGAATCAAAGGGAAGCAACACAACCAGATTGGTATTGGTATAATTATAAGTGGTTTATTTTAAACAGGAGCGGTACCATCTATCTATCTATCTATCTATCTATCCATCCATCTATCTATCTATGTATTTATCTATCTATCCATCCATCCATCCATAAACAAATTACCACAATACGGTTTAAATAACAAACAAAAGAGGCCACAAGGGCGCAAGTTTAAATAGGCAACCAAACTAAGAGAGGACTCTAACAAGGAGCCTGTGTACATACAAAGCAAATAGGTAATAATAACAAAACTAAAACCCTCACTATCAAAGTGGTACAATCTAACTACGGGAAGCTGTAAGGAAACACAGCTGAGGTAACTATTACACAAAACTAACCACACACGAGTTAACCCCTGTTAACAGAATTTATCACAAACACAGACCACACAAGTTAACCACATAATGACAAGCAAATAGCGAGAGGCGTCTGTTCCTCAACAGAGCCTCCAGAGTGTCAGTTGTCCCCAGCCTTTGTACTCCTCCCCAGCAGGTGTGCGCCGGCTGTGCACTTCGATTGGATGACGTCTCATCCAATCACCTCTTCGGATGCAGCGAGGGCGGGACCAGGAGATGACAGCCAATGACGTCGGGGCAACCACACAGCTCATTTACATATCACACACAGGCACACAGCTGCAAACAATCCCAGACAGATTAACGAGCAGACAGAAACAGCAGCCGTAACAGACATATTGAAACGTCTCATTGACATATTGAAACGTCTCATTGGCAAAACAGCAGGCGCACTATTTTAGGCTCAGTGTTTAGTTATCCAGTGATATTAATGTCAGAGCTTTTGATGTTGTTGTGTCCTCTCCAGAGCTTGACTCAGCTGACGTGCAGCTACGAGGCAGAAAACCAGACTCGCTACCTGGTGTGTGACCTGGGAAACCCCATGAAGTCTGGAACCAGCGTAAGAGCCCACATGTTGGCTTTGGCCTCGTTCAGTTTGTGTTTCTTAGAACAATTAAGTCACGCCAAATTGTTCTGGCAGAGCGAAATGCATGGACCACCTCTGACAGCGTTTGAATTGACCTGATAAAACATACAAGACATAAATCACACTCTTAATGCAGAAACAATAACCTTGGTTTCCAAAAGCAGGGGAATACCTCGGATCAGAATAAGAGTCAAGGCTCTGTATGACTACTTATTATCTGTTTATAACAAGATTACACCTTTGCATTACCACCAATGAGGCCATTTTTAGATCTTTAAGTTGTCGAGGAAACGTTGAAAATGATTGATGAATAATACAAGACATCCGTTTCATTTTTATATCATGCACTGGAAAGAATGTTTTGGTTAGATTTCTTGAAATAAGACGGGATATCTAGATAAAGGAGATCTTGAGATTAGCTGGTAAAACTTATTTTGAACTATATCTTACCAGGATCAGTAAATGTTGTTACAAAACAAGTTTGAAATGCTCA